ATGGCATAAATACCAACAAAGAAAGAAACTAAACTTATATAATAATATGATTGATGTTGAATTATATTAAAAGTTTGCATTTAATTAGACGGCAGCTGGCGCCTTTACCAATGAGGTCAACAACATTTCTGACGACAAGCTAATCAGTTTGACAATCTATCACTATTCATGATTTAATCTTTTGTTTTTTTATGATCAAAAATTTTATGCTCAAACATATTTGCTAGACATGTTATATTATGTACTTGGTACATAGGCAGCCGACAAAGTCGGGTATACGACCGTTGAAAGACACAAGCCTCACTCACAGCCGCAAATTTTATGTTACAAATGTTCGAATTTCACTTCTGATTTCGCATTTGCAGTGACATGCGAGTTGTACATACAAGACCGTACGAAAATGTTTTCGGATAATAAAAACAGACCTCTACCAACCCCATATAAAAACTCAGAAACCTAAATTATGCGCCAAGCGAGTGTTTTCGCCTTCTCCTATTAATTAAGTTTCTCCTGGTCTTTACTGATTGCCTTTTGCCTCTTTTGCACTTTTCTAACCATTTTCAGTACCATAGGCACCACCATCTTTTACGAGCGATGGTGAATTCAATCAGCATCCTAATTTAATTTGTTAGTATTTAAGGTCGAAAGTTGGTGAAAATGGCCCTCGATAAAGCCCTAATGTGTTCACTATAGAGTTGGTCGGAGTGATACTCGATAACGCCCTAATGTGTTCACTATAGAGTTGATGGACTGGCCCTCGATAAAACCCTAATGTGTTCACTATAGTTTTGGTAGGAGTGACCACTCGATAAATACAACTTGGATTATCCAAAACATAACAATCGAATTTATTTAGGAGCACTCGGAAGCCAACAATTCACACCAAACACGCTAATAAGAAATAAGAATCCTGTTTCTGACTAGTCCACCAAGTTTTTGACAGACTTCTTGCTCTCAAATCAGTTCTGAACGGTTTGGATCCTGAACCGTTCAAATATTTTTTTTATCGAAAACCCTCTTTTGGCAAATTTGAAAGAAATCATAATTAAAAATGAAAGGACAGATAAAACTGATCAAATTGATGACACCTCAAACATGTCACTCCGCGATGACAGCTATATAGGTAGACTGCGCTGCAACAATTCCTGTCAAGCTTGGGCGCCAATTGCTCCACGCTTCCTATGTTCCAGATAAAATCTTCCTAACTATGTACGTAATCATAAATTGTATTTTCGCTAGAGTTTTTAATACTTTTATTAAGTTCGTCTGAACCAAATTTTGTGAATTAAAATTAGTTTAACCTCTAACAAGGTCAGTCCCAATAAAAACTTTGTTCAGAAAACGTGCTCATCCAGCAAACTGTCCGCAAAAAATGCCGATTCCTCAGCCTCACAAAAAAATTCAATTTCCCAAGCTTCACAACACTTTTAGGTATCGCTAGTTTGAGAGACAGATTTTTATTTTATTTTATTGCCCCCTAGATACACTAATGCAATTGAGTTCTCATAATGGGATATGAACGGTGAAAATTTAGAGAACTTTAATCGGATGGAACTTCACTTCAATCTTTGACTTGGCAGAATACCTTGCCTTCTTATCGTCAACTATGGATCACCTTCAGCACCAAACAACCAAATTGAAGGAAAATGCGGACAACGTTCGATCGGCTAAAGCTGAATGCCAGTAAGTGCAAGGTTATGATGGACAAATGCAGGAGCGACAGCTGGCTGAGGGCTGGGGAGAACGAAGTAAATGAGTATATGTATTTTTAGCGCATTTTCTCATTTATGGGAAAAATGCACTATTGTGCTCGCCATGTCCGTCTGTCTATCTGTCCGTCCGTCCGTGACCACGTTTTCGTCGACGAGAAAATGCGCTCTCTGTCACTCACTGCAGTGAGTACAGAGTTATATTTTTCCACGTTAGCCCGGCTTAGTCCGTCCTTGATAATTCCGGCAATTTTTGATAGCATAATCCCATCATTACCCTAATCTCTAGTCCCGTTATTGATAATAAAGCTTATTTATCCTCATTAAATTAAGACCAGTATACCGGTATATAAGTAGAAGATGGGACTCCCATTTTAATCTCTTTTCAAAATATTTAAAAATCTATTTTGCACCTTTTAAATTTGAAATTTTACCAATTTTAACCAATATACCAAAATCTAATTTCCATTTTGATCTTTACTGAAGTTTTCCTTATTTTTTTCAGCCCTTCTGTATTCTTCCTCTCAGGAGTTAATCATTTAGATGAACTAAATGGCAAACAATGTTCACAAAGAGGCTCCTGTTTTGCCTCATTTCTGTGGACCGAAGGGAGATTTAGACTCCCATAACCACTATAAATATAGTTACAGGAATGGTTGTTAATTGTGCCTAATTGTGGCGCATTGAACGACGCTTCGAATTTGCACTGTCATTGAGAACCTGGAACCTGAAATTTCAGGTTCCAGGTAATATTCCGACAGATAAGTATCCTGGATGCGTGCCCCGACAACCCCCATATACGAGGGGGGACCCTAAAGAACCGGAATGTTTTTTATTTATTTATTTATTTATCTAAAATTTTCCCTTAACATTAGCTGGAGCGAACTCCAAGTCACTTGGGACAGCTCCTAAGTTCGCCAATAATTCTACGTCGATCTTCAATGATTTGGTCCCTAATTTTTCACAACGTTTTCATAAGTGGGTAAGTATATATAGAAGGAGGACCTGCGCGAGATAAGTCGTCATTTGACATTTTCGTTTTTTTTTTGAAGTGGGAAAACCACTAAAAAAACTTGCATTCTCCCCATAGCATCATCCAATAGCATTTCATTTCCAGTTTTTCAAAGAAGAAAGCAAAATTTGAAGACAACACGTTGCTCGCGGAAATCAGATATCTTCGCAAAATGATGAGTGCTCACAATAAGTGTCGCAAAAAATTATGATAATAGTACACGGCCTTCAAGGGCAGCAATGCTTGTCACACTAACTGATGAATGTCAGTAGCATATGCACATGCAGGTAGAATGCGGTCCATCCAAATCTTAGCCCATCACACAGGCAGTCCGCTTTTTTTTTGGGGGGGGGGTCGCCCTTCGTATTACCATGCCAAGATTCAGAACACAAACCAACACACAAACTTTGATAATTTTTTTCATGAGATTTGTCCAAGTTTGCGTTTGAAGCGTGTCAGCACTAATACTCGTTTATATTGGAAGTTCGGGCGCTCATCCAGGATAATTAATTATCGTATCGTTACATTTTATGGACCCATGTTAGGAATGATGGATAGTACACATGAACGCTGTGCATCCAGATTTGTAAATGAAAATTTGGGGCTTCAAGTAGCCCCGAATGACTATCGATTCTTAAACATCGGTTAGAAAACTATTGAAAATTTAGTGAAGCAGAGGAATTAAAAACTGTGTTACACAAAAAAATCATGTTGAAACTCAGTGGTATTTGAAGCACTCGTATGTGCGCATTAAAAAAATGCATTCTGACAACATTAGTAAGGCAGTAGCATTTCATAGTTTAGCTGCACTTGCTAGATGGAAAATGTGACTGACTTGCAGATATAGTACCTCTCAATGACAGTGCAATTCGATGTTTATATGCAATTCGATGTTCGCATTCGAAGCGTCGTTAGATTCGCGACAATTTGTCACAGCAACTAATCTTGCAACTATTTATAGTGGAAGTCTAAATCTCCCTTCAGTCGACAGAAATGTGGCAAAACAGAAACTTCTTTGTGAACATTGTTTGCAACTTAGTTCATTTCAATAATAAACTTCTAAATAAGGCTCAGTGTGTGGGGATGCGGGGAAATTTGGAGCATTTCTTTATACCCTGCGATCTAGCCAAGACATAAGAGTAAAACTAGTTTTTAGGCGTTAGCCTCGCGGCAGCTCGTATATATACGTACGCGGAAAAAACTGCAAATGCCGGACTTCTGGGATTTTCCTGTCAGTTGATATAGTTTTTTTAACTTCTTTTAAAGCCTTTAATAACATACTTTCATGAGTCTAACAGTAGTAGAGTCCGAAAAAATTATTTCTTATGCGTTAAAATGAATTTCAGACCAACAGACGACAATTATTTTGTGTTGTATTATTGTAAATTGAGTATTCAAATTTATTTGTATTTGCTCGAATAATAAATAATTTTTATGTGCATACTGTTATCGTAAATATAGTGTAAAAATATACATTAGTTGAAGAAGAGCAAATACACGTTTCGTGCGGCCTCTGTTTCATTTTAATAAATAATTATCGTCGGCTACCATTTAACATTCAACCTTTTTTTTAAGTTCTTACATCAAAATGAAAAAACGAAAAAACAGTCATTCAATACTGAAAATATAGGCTTTTTACGACAAATAAAACTGCAGGCTCAAATTCATCATCGAAAATTTCCCTTTCCTTAAAATGAGGTGATAAAATAAATTACCTATGGAATGTTAAATTTGAATGATATTACAAACTGTAATTAGATTTATAATTATGCAGGCGATTCTACAATATATTTTATTAATTATTTTTACATATATTGTAATTAATTATCTTACGTGTAATTAACCATCCGAGACAATGATTTCACTATAGGGGGTCCCGAATTCAATAAGTTAAGATTAATGATAGTCTGTAACAGCCTATAATCCTGCTTGAATTTCCAAACGACCATTCAATGTTAAAAAGAAGACAATTAAATATTCGATGAATACAGAAGAGTTTTTATTCCTTCTACGGCACAAGTACGAAATGACGGCAGCAGTATCATAATCAATCACTCAATAAAAATAATTTGTCAATTATATAACATGATTAAATAGGAGTTTTTTAAGTTAGATAGATTTGAGATTTTACTTTTATTATACTGTTATTATATCGGCAATCGCTCTGATTTCGGTCACGTTGCGTCCGCAGTGGTCAGTAACGGCACGTTGTAAGTCCTTAAATGAAATAGGTTACGGCAAAAATCGTGCAGAGAGAGAGGGTTTTAATGAAACACTGGTACATTTCATATTAAATTGGAAAATCCAAGTTCACGTCCTACGTTTACAAAAAATCTCTAGTACATGAAAAAGGTAATTTGAACACAATCAAAATTGAAAAGCTATTAGTTAACACCACTAAAATCTTCTATTTTTACCAGGAAACGTTGAGCCGTAGAACGCTCCAGTAGAATGGTACGACTCCCGCAACGACCGTACCTCACGCGCACGTTTGCAGCCGTATTCCAAGTGACCGTACCGCTGCTGTATCCTCGCAACCCCTTTAACAGTTGCTCTTTCTTCATAGCCGTATTTCCCGCGCTATAGTGATGTCTCACGGCCGGTCTAACCACAGAATTTATGATGCGACCGTACTTCGGAATAGCGGTGTTCGTCTTCATAGTCGAAGATATTCTCCAAGCTCGTTGTCGTACTGCGGTTGATGACTGTAACCGTCCCGTCCTTCTAATTAGAGTTGTGACCGTACTATTCTGATGACCGTACCGACGAGAACTGTTGTTGCGCAGTGCTCGAAAACGTGAATCTTCTGATACCGGGCGTTTTAATCGTTGTACAACTTTGCATTGTCTCACGGTTGAGTCGCAGCCGTAGTCTTGATGTTGACCGTGCATTAATATGTCAAAGTCGTGGCCGTCCCTTGTATATTTTCTTGACGTGCTCACAGGAATCGTAGCTGCTTCGATAAGTCTAGGTTTCTCGCGACCGTCGATGTTCGACAACGTCTAAACCACTGGCCTCACGGCCGCGGCCGTCGCAACGTCCGCAGACTGCAGACCGTACTCGCGTGTCGGTCACCTCCGCAGAACAATCTTTTGCGTGAATTTTAGGGACCTTTTATATGCTGGTGTTGCCCACATTTAAGCCTATACCCTCGAAGTGACGCCGCGACGGTTTTGAGTTTCACAAGGTTCAGCACCTTTGATACCCTCGCCATTTCAAACTATAAACAAACCCTCGGTCTCATGGTCTTGAGAATAATGGCACCTAATACAAGCTTTACACAGTTCATCCCAAATTCCTGTAGCCTTCTCAATCTTCAAATAACTTTCAAAACTCATGTTAATAATTAATTTACCCTCAACCTACGTTTTACACAGTCTAACATATAACTTAAGTCAGATATATCGACGCTCTATTCAAACAATATCAGAATATTATATAGCGATCAGAAACATGATTGACCCGTCGAATGAAAATAATTACAATATTCCCATTCTAAAAAAAATAAAAGCATTCCCTGATTAGCTTCAGTCAAAACGATTGTGTATTGTGTTCTTTTTTTTGCCCTATTTCATTTCAGTTTGGTGATCGTAACACTGCAAGTTCCTAGGGAGACTAATATATTGCGAGTGAACATTTCAAGTTTCATGCAAATTCATGAAATTTCCTATAAAGAAATATATATACAGTGTGCATAATTTGTTGGTTAGCCAGAAGGCCATATCACAACACGATCCATTCCGCTCCAATCGGCATTTAGCAACATTAGAATAACATTCTCTACAACCACTGCCACCACAGACATTAGATTCACAACAAGACTTACTAAAATAACTAACTACATCATTAGCTACAGTTTTCACCATAATAAGTGAAATCATAAATTGTGTGCAGTTTTCACCGCGGATAAACCATGTTCAATAGTCATCGCAATATTTCAACAAACAATATCGTCCCTCGATCGACTCTTCGTCAGCATATATGCCTTTAGCGCCGCCGCCCAGGCTGATGTCGAGTTCTTTCGTCACCTGGGATGGCGTAAGTCGCTTGACGAACACAAGTGCGATGAAGCTGATGACGCCAGTGACGACGAGTTGCGCGAAAAAGTGCCACGTCAAAGTCATGGTCTCCATGAAAAGATAGAAATGATCCTCAGCGGGCCAAGGTTTGCCGTGAAGAGGCCATAAAATGAAATCCATTTGAGCAGTAAAGCTTCCCTGCCGAGATCAAGAAACGAACACATTAAAGATTTGGTCACAATATATGAATTATAAATGAATAATACATGTCTTTTTCCTGTCCTATTAAAGAGTTAAAGCGGCTAAAAAGGTCACTTTCTTATATTTTCTTCATCTTATACCGACAATCAATACATTTTTCAAGTCATGCGAATTCGCAGATAAGCATGGATTAATCATTTAGTACGCGACGGACATTAATGTAATAGGAATCTTTCTTTGTTTTTGGCGGCCTTTAATGAAATTGCAGAAATTTAACCATCGGAATCAATTTAGTTCACGAAATTACGCATAATTGCTCACCGTTAAGCAATACATGAAGCCGCGGAATACAGGGAAGATCGGCTTGTCCATGTTTAACATTTCGCCGATGAAGACAACTGCCGTTGTCATCCACAACATCACCTGGTGAAGGTGTGCCTGTGATGCACATCGTAGCAGACTTGAATTAGTGAACATTAAGTTAAAAAGAATAGTTCTAAGAAAAATGTTTGGGGGCAAAAAGGAATTGCTTCAAAAAGGAATTTTTTGAAGCAAGAAGGAATTGCTAAATTAAAGTAATGTTAATGTTAGAGATGTCAGATACGAAGTTCTATCTGAATTATTTGGTGTCAGAATTCCGCCAGTAAACCTTAAAATGTATATATATTTTTGGTGCATTTAACTTCACAACATATTCAAGTTGCTACATCAGGAGAGAGTAGTGTTATAGTACTCAGTGCTGCAACAGTTACTGCAATTCATTTAGAAGACAAGTGTTTACTAACCTGTTTGTTCATCGCGTTCTGGTGCAGCGTGTGCTGCACCAGAAGCATGCTCATTAACGCGTTCCCAACGGCTCCAGTCAGGTACTCCATACCTGGCAGCACAGGATACCTGGACAGTGTGAAATTAAGGTTTTTTCGTTATTTTAAAATTTAAAGAGTGAAGCCTTTGCTCACCCCGCCACAGAAAACAAGCCTGCCTCTTACCTTTTGACTACCCCTCTCCATGAAACAAGCCTAAACTTGACCCTTTGCACCTCCTGCTCAACGAAACAAGACCCAAATTAACCCTTTGCCCACCCTGCTTTTTGAAACAAGCCTGAACTTGACATTTTAACCAGCCCGTTTTGATTTAGTCTGAACTTAACCCTTTAATCTTAACCGGAACTTTAAACCTTTAATCTTAACCTAACGAAACCTTTCTTCTACTGACGGTGACGGCTGGTACGAGCCTACAGGTTAGGTTGGCATATTGACGCCTCTGGTAATTTATGCGCAGGCACATAGTTAAACAGGTTCACCACGAATCTGTGTTTCAACTTATAAAATTATAACAAATATGAAAACCTTGGACTCAAAAATTAGTTTTGATCATTGTTTGTAAGGCACAAGTGACAAATAAAGAATTTTTCCTGTACTATCTATTTTGATTACATTTACGTAAAAACCTCGACATGACTTAACCTGAAGTGCCTGAAGATGGCGATGATGGGAGGGATTCCCAACAGGGAGAACAAGCAGATGTGCATGTAGTTCTGCGCCAGGTGATGCTCATCTGTTGGGTGCCCTATTGCGTTCTGGATTTCCACTGCACATCGAGGTACACAGGGAAAGTTAAAGAAAATGTCTATGCTGATGGTTCATTAATATAAAAACATCTTCTCGCCACCACTGCTCGGTGCTCAACTGCTCATGTAGGTCCGTACGGCTAGTAAACAAATATCAAGCAGTTTTTAATGGTTATTTCGCCATGGAAAAACCGTGGATCTTGTTAAGAATGAGCACTTCCAGACGTTACTGGGATGCGTATTCATAACAAGAACATTACTCTGGTGTGTATTCTTAACAAGGTTAGTTTAATTAATACTAAGAGCAAATTAGGTCTTTTTAAACATTTTTTTTAAGAATTATAATTCAATGTAAATAAATTACATTGTGTTTTATTAACAATGACACACTAGGGTGTGATTTTTCAAAAGGGCCATACTGGAGTGCTTATCCTTAACAAGATCCTAAACAGCTCATCGAAGAATAAATAATAATAATTACTACTTTATTATAGAGTACACAATACCAAGAACGGTACTCACTAAATACGAGTCCAAAGGCGAACAATGTAAGGACTGCGGCCTCCACGGGCAGGCCAGGGAACCATGTGCTCGGGTACACGTAACTGCTGGTGAACTTGCGTCTCATAGACCCCTTGATGGCTGCCTCCCTCATGCAGAGGTAGTAGCGCTTGAACGCGCAGAACAGCCACCGTAGCCCCACCAGGGTTGAGAAGGTCCCTGCTATTATGTGCCCTCCGAACCGCTCTGGGATCCCATACTCTGCCAGGGAGGAGGATGGATTTCAGCTGCAAGAATTGGTGACGAAACTGAACTTAACCCTTTGCCCCGTCTGCTCTTATGAAACATGCCTGAACTTTAACCCTTTAATCCTAACCTAACCCTCTATTCCACTTATCTCATATAGTTCTGAGTTTCTGACACAATACATTTATTTTGTTTGTATTGATGCAGGTAAAGCAAATTTTAACGTACTGGATTGTTAATTATCAATGCATAAAGCATTTCATAATAACACATTAATCACGGGAAGGAGTTTGAGGTCCATAAACGCAGTAGCAAAGTACCGTCAATGTCAGAAGCTACATCATCATTAATGTATTATTCTGTTTATTACAATTATTTTAAGACATCTTTTTGTTCGAAATAGATATTTGCCAGGCACCTTAACATAACACATAATGCTTAATGAATCGCATAGATGGGTGTGAAGCCAAATCAAATCACATTATTCCAGTATAAAGTAAAATAAAGTTGCAGTTTTCTTCGAGCACTTACTGTTGAACTGCGGCTCAGTGAAGTTATGCATCGCGTGTTGAAGCATTGGTTCCATCTCTGTTGATATTTGTTTTTATTGTTCTTCTCCCAAAGAGATGAGTCCGCTAAATCATTACAATTTAGTCAACAAAGCAGCTGAAAGTTTGATGCTACTTCTCGATACAATTTTATTTGCAGGAAATGGATACCTTCTGGAAAGTGAATCACAAAAAAAAGTTTTTGCTATTCAACTGTAAAAGTCATTTGCTGCTGACGAAATTGCGGTTCCGTATCATGCAAAGCGGGCCCAAACATCGATAGAACGAACAGCCAAAGCAGGGCATGATCGAGTACTCTACTCCTTACTCAGTTGTGTTGCTACTGTATGTAATTGATCGCGCACTTACAAGACAATTACGAGTTACGATTCAGATCACAGGCGAACGCTTGCATTGAGTGTTTAGATACCAGCGTATTTATATGGTTTAAGGTAATATCTATCGTCAGTTATGAAAAGATCGGGTTCCAAAGGCCGGACCCCTTGTGAATCAATATTATATTATATTATATTATATTATATTATATTATATTATATTATATTATATTATATTATATTATAATGCCTTGAGCTACTTGTGCCGCGATTGAGTTAGTCATAAAGTTTTGGTTAATTGTATATAAGAAATGAATATCAACTTATGCATACAAATTGAAAATTTAATGAATTACTTTGCTTTATTTTTAAGAAGGATTCTTCAACGTTTTGATCCTTTTCACTAGTCAAATGTCTACCAAGACTTGTAGAATAATGAGGGATGGCGGGCATTTGATAGAATTTTAATTTAACTAGAATCCATCATCAGCGTTTGTGGATTTTATTCATCACTTTAACAATCCACACCAAATCGCATCAAATGCACATGAATTCCGATTTTGCCAATTTCTAGAATATTATGTCAATTACCTGTATTACGAAAATTCTTGTTGTAACTCAAGTGAAATGTCATAAAGTAATGCTAGTGGATTTTGAAGAAAACCATCACAAAATTTCAACGAAATTCCTCGTTCGCTTTAGATCGACAGAACGTTACATTAATTATAAAGGGATAGGCTGGCCAGTTCTACCTAGGCAGATCTGAATGACTTATAGCGGAATATTCGAGCACTAGACGGAAATCCCAGACAGGAAAAAACTTCACCTCGATCTAACATCGAGCTTGAGACCTGCAATCAACTTGCCCCATAACATTTTGAATTTTCCTCCGTCCACCGTGCAAAAACAGGAGGCAGAATTATAGTGCGTGCAGCAGCAACATAACATAAAAGCAACTCAAAACTGACAGGAGGCAGAATCAACGCGTGCAGCAGCAATTCAACTTCAACATGAAAGCAACACAAAACTGACAGGATTCAGAATCAACGCGTGCAGCAGCAATTCAACATGAAAGCAACACATAACTGACAGGAGGCAGAATCAGCAACACAACATAAATCAACACAAAAATGACAGGATGCAGAATTAATGCGTGCAGCAGCAACTCAACATAAAAAAAACTGACAGGAGGCAGAATCAACGCTTGCAGCCGCAATACAAGATGGAAGCAACACAAAACTGGCTGAAGGCAGAAGAAATAAACGCTCTTGGTTAAAATAAGAAATTCCTGAACGTAAAGAAAAGATGGACGACGTAAACATAGAAATGATTTCGATATTAATTAGATAATTAGAGATAATTCCCAGTAGATTTTTTTTATTTAATATAATATTCAGAGATAAGTTGGAAGTCACGCTTCCAAACAAAATGTAGGCAATTTTAACAAAATGTAGGCAATTGGTTTATTCCGAGTTACGTGCACTAAAAAATATGTAAGCCATGAGTTAATTGGCTTATAAGGTTCATGCGGTACGAATTGCAGTATTAAAATATGTATATATATGTACATATATATATATTGGTGTAATTCGTCAGAAGCTCTTCTTTTATGCAAGTTTTATTGAAGATTAGAACATGCTTTTTATTAATAATCTTCGTATTCTTTTTTTTTTGTAAAGAGTCGAACAATATTTCATACTGGCGCCGGGAGATCAAAAAGCAGGTTACCAAATGACATTTTAATGGAATGCGACGTTTCGAAAATACAATTTTCATTATCAAGCAGGTGAAGGTTTTGCAACACTTGAAATTGAACTTTTGAAATGACAGTAGTAAAAACCAAGGTTATTGGGGATATAATTCGAAATCTAAATTTAAAATTATTCTGAAAATAATTTCAGCGTCCGGACGAATCCTGTAGTTTGGAGGTTGATGGCTGGAGACTCGCTCTTGATAATGAGGGCCTCAGCTATCGCCAGTCTCGATGGGTCGGGGCGCCGCATAACTATGCTGGTGCAGGCTTCCAATGTCGCTCGGGTGATGGTCTCATTGTGAGCCTCCCGCATGTGGTTCTTAGGTCCTCCAGATTGTAGATGGCATGTGCGTCGGCTTAAGGTCTTGCTAGTAAAGTCATGGTCTCCATAAACGGCGGCTTAAGGTGCTAAACCAATTAAGTTTATATTTTGAAGAAGCCTGCAACCTTCCATATTACATGAAAATTTATAAACAACATTAGTTCCTTGAGGTAGTCCAGATTTTTGCAGGGATTATTATTCATGACAAGGTTTTTCATTTTCTTATTTTTGTAGCAGATCAGAAGTTTTATTTTTTTTTTTTGTTATTCGTTGTGCTCTTGATATTATTATGGACGATTGACTGTATAGAACTCGTTCATCTACTTTGTAGCCTCTGTTCGTCTGGTTTTTGGTTTTGGTTTTTTTCATGTTGAGTTGCTGCTGCACGCGTTGATTCTGCCTCCTGTCAGTTTTGTGTTGCTTTTATGTTATGTTGCTGCTGCACGCTATGCTATAATTCTGCCTCTTGTTTTTGCACGGCGAAGCGGAGGAAAAATTCAAAATGTTATGGGGCAAGTTGATTGCGGGTCTCGAGCTCGATGTTAGCTCGAGGTGAAGTTTTTTCCTGTCTGGGATTTCCGTCTAGTGCTCGAATATTCCGCCATAAGCCATTCAGTTGGGTCGGTTCCATTAGAAATTGTTTCATTGTTGGTTCGGTTATTTCTGTATCGATAATATTATATTTCAGTGTCGATTGTTCTTTTTCTAAAACTCATTATCTACTAGGATTTGGTTACACGTTCTGAGTTCAGTTTTCAAATCACTCTCGTATGAGCATGTCTTGAAAGCCCTTTGTGTCAGAGTGCGCACAGTGCTGGTTGTATAGCGTTGAGGGCATTCGTTTTCTTCGTTTAGCACTTCTACGTCGCATTCCATTAATAAAAATGTCATTTGTTGACCTGCTTTTTGATCTCCCGGTGCCAGCATGAAATTTTGTTCGACACATTGAAAAAACGAAGAAGAAGAAGAATATTTAATAAAAGCATTTTCTAATTTTCAATCAAGCTTGCATATAAGTATATATATATATATATTAGGTATTTTATTCGGATGAAAATTGATTGTATTTGGTGGATGTTGCCGATATTGAAAATAAATTATGTTGTGCGTTCCAAATAAAAAAATGCGGGACTGAATTATAGCAAAAATTCAAGCAATTTGATAAAGAGAACTGCAGTTTCATGCCATACAAACTGCAATGCAGCATGAAACTCTCTCAAAATCAACAAACTTGAGTTTCATTTTTTTTGTTGAGAAACTATTACAACTCATTTCCAGTCTCTTTAAGCTCGGGACGCACTGATAATATTCATACAGTTTATTAATTGATATCAGATACTTGATGCATTCGGTGTAGTAGTCACTCCGGTCTGGTGGCTATACTACTTCGTTGGAAACTTGGGTTTACTTCATTATTTATCGTGTTATTTGCTTGATTATTTATCTTTTATTTATCGTATTTATTCCCGCACGTAAAATAGCTGAATTTATTTTCATCCAACCAATTATTAATTATTGGGTTTATTTGATTATTTATCGGGCGCTGAATCTCTCACGTCAAATATCTGAATTTATTTTCATTAAAATCTCACCAACAAATTATTAATTATTAACTTTATGACTTGCAAGCAAGAACAGATCAGAACTCTAGTCCACAATGTAGCTGCTGCCAGCCAACCGTCAATTATTTGAAAAATTTCTGTTATAATGGTCACCATCATATCCCATTACATTTCTGTTATAATGGACACCATCATATCCCATTACATTTCTGTTATAATGGACACCATTATATCCCATTACATTTCTGTTATAATGGACACCATCATATCCCATTACATTTCTGTTATAATGGACACCATCATATCCCATTACATTTCTGTTTTAATGGACACCATCATATCCCATTAGAATTCTGTTATAAAGGACCCCATTATACCCCATTACATTTCTGTTATAATGGACACCATTATATCCCATTACGTTCCTATTATATATACGCCGTTTATCATATTGCAGTATCATTATATCAAAATTAATTCATTAATTTTTTCTCTGAAGAATTTTTCGCATCAAAATTAAACATCCATAAATTAAAACCAGATCGTGCATGATTTTTTTAGAAATAAATTTACCAATAGAGCCAACTTTATAAATTCAATGTGTGCACCATGTACGTTTGTTAAACAGAATTGATATCTAAACTCGTTTTATTATTTACATTATCAGTCACTTTGGGGTATTATTTATTATTTTAAAATTTAACTTACAGTTACCTTCTATCTACGCATAACAATTCATAAAACTAATAAATGTTATGCGCATAAATCTACGCATAACAATTAAAAAATATGGTTTCATTATCAATGGGATCGTGTAAAATTTTATGAGAAAATCCAACTAAATATGCGAAGTCGCGAATAATATCTTTGTATTGTTCCGTCCTACCGCTACTGAGTTCAGGCAACAACTGGCAACCACGCGCCCGAACTCCTTATAAAATAAAGGAAAATTTTTGCTACGTCGCAAGCGAGTGGAAAATTTTGATCTCTGAGGTACTTCCTGCCTCGCGATCAGGCTTTATTTCTGCGTCATATCAAGCAAAAATTCTGCGTGCGAGGGATGAATAAGATAATCAACAGGCGAGTTTATCCATTTATCCATTTATCCAGCATTAGTTTATCCATTTATCCAGCATTGGATCGAATGTTTTGTATAATTTATACCTTCAAGTCATGTTTTGCTTACTCATGAATCCTTCAAGCGCATTTTACGTCCACCTAATTTATACTATTC